GAGTGCTGGTCGAGCAGACTGAGCTTGGTGTTTCGAGCTGGTAGCGATTGGCTGGGCTCGTGGTTACCGGGATTGGAGGCGTCGCTTCCTTCGCCGCCTGGGCCATCGGCGCCGATTAAATTAGAAGCGGAAGCTCGTGCTGTTGAAAATGGCTCATCCTCGCCGCTGTTGCTTGCCGACTGAGCGAGGAGGCTGGAGACGAGGACGTTCTTCCGTGATATCTCCTCCAGCTTCTGCTTCATGCGCTGCCTCACCGGGACGTAGGGAACGTAGTTGTCGTCGTCGTCATCGTCCAGCAGGTCGTCCTTCTTTTCGGGCGTCTCCTCGCGTCGGTATCGCTGTAAAAAAGAAGTTCGAATTGAAATCTCCAATCTATCTCTTTCATTTCAAAGTGCCACTTACCTTGATCGGCGGTTGACCACCACTACCACCACCACTTCCGCCATTCTCCTCTCGCTGCGACATCCTTAGCAAAGAAGAAGATCAAAGACTCAAGATCCAAGATCCAAAAGAAAACCGGGAAATTGCAAATCCAAACAAACAAACAAAAATGTAAACACTGAAAAAATGCCAAAGCTGGACCGTAGTAGTAGAAACAGCCGCCGGTGGCATCCAGATCGGGCGCCGGTGTAAATAGCCAGGCTGCTGCTGGCTGGCTGCTGTACTCGCTATGTTTGTGTGTTGGTGTTGGCAGGACTGGACTGGCCGTCAGACTCTTTCCCTCTCGGCGCCGCAGAGCTCTGTTTGTTCTATTTTGGCGTCAGTCAGTCAGTTCGACTTCGGAAGATCACCACCACCACCTGAAGACTACCACCACTGATGAGGAGGTGAGGTGAAGCGCAGTGGACAGAGAGGACTAGGCCCTCGACCTCTTTCTTCACGGCTGGTCGCTGATGGTCACCTCAACCAGTTCGACTTTCCTCTGTATGGATCGGATTGAAGATCATTTGGTCACCACCACCACCACCACCAACTTCTCAAAGAGCTTGGACTACGGCTATCATCATCATCATCATCATCATCAACACTAGACCCATCACCTTCATCATCTGATCACCATCATTATGGCACAGAATGGTAGCAACAACAGCAACAACACTAACATCGCCGGCAGCGGCGGCAGTGTTCCAGGCGGTCCTGGTGGTCCTGGTGGTGGAGGGCCCCTGAACAATAATAATAATAGTAACAGTGGCTACAGCGGAGCAGCGGGCAACCGTGGACCAGCTGGCCGTGGAAGCAGCAACAACACCACCAATCCCTCAGTATCCTCCTCCTCCTCCTCCTCGACGCCCTTCTCCGCCTCGTCGCCCTCCTCGACGACGATCACCTCGCTGATCAGCAAACTGCAGCAGAGCTTCAGCGACGCCATGTCCACGCAGAAGACGGTGGTGGATAAGCGTGCCTTCGAGAAGACCTACAAGAACATGGACAAGGTAAGGGGCTCATCTCTTTCCTTTCCTTTTCTTTCCTCTATCACCTGCACTTTATCAGTCAGTGTAGCCTCCTTTGAAGACTGAATTTCGAAATCCACNGAATTTCGAAATCCACTCTAGGATGGGATGGTTTGCTATGATTAGCTTGGCTGGCTGGCTGGCTGGCTGGCTGTGGTGTACTCGAGATGTCAACTGGCGAGCAATTGCAACTTCCTCTTAGCGTTTCCTCTCTTTTGCTATGTGCGCATAGACACTCGTATCTCTCTTGCTAGCAGGATGTATTTCCATGGAAGGCACAGGCAGCAAATGCACACACAAAATAGAAAGCACCCATTTCAGGCAGGCAAAATACTCAGCCCCCATATACCACCACCACCATATCATTCGCCAGAGTGCTAATTTGTGTTTATTTATTTTTTGCTGCTCTTGTCGTCTTTCTCTACGACCACCACCACCACAACCACGATCACCACCATGATCATCACCACCATCACCACCACCAAAAAAGGTCGTCAAACTGTGCCAGCACGGTCGGATGAACCTGAAGAACTCCCCGCCCTTCATTCTGGACA